TTCTACCACTGCTCCGTCAATGGCTCACTGGCCACACTGGCACTGGCAGCATGATACAACGGGTGAGGCACGGCTGACCCAGGCATTGGATGTGCCAATCGACGACGTCGTTCGCAGTATCGTTCCCGTGTACACGTTCGCGTCGAAAACTGCTGCCTCGCCCGAAATTGCACTTGCACTCGTCGAGTTGAAGCTGCAAGATCGCTCGCCATTTATCCGGCCGTCCGGTTGTGAGCATTATCTGCCACCACGAGCAATAATGCTTGGCCGCGCGGCCCAACTCGCGGAGCTTGTCGCGCTCATGGGCGGCGAGCCGGACGTCGACACGACGAGCTCCGAGATGCACGAGCCGATGACGAGCGTTGGGTACCCCGTCATCGTGGTGCATGGCTACAACTCGACGGGCAAGAGCAGCTGTGTCCGCACCGCGCTGGAGGCCGTCAAGCAGGCCAACCACGCCATGTACACGGCTTTCGTCGACTGCACGACCATCTACACGCGGCGCCAAGTCTTCACCGACATCTTGCGTCAGGTGCTTTACGAGGTCATTCGTAGCTCTCGCTGACCGTGACTTTCTAGATCGATCCGCTGGCGCGCTCGCAGCCGGACGAACTGCTGCCGATATTTCAGTCCAAGGCCACGGGCGACGGGTACCACAACCTGAACCTCCTCGGGTTCGTCCAGTGCCTCTCCAAGATCATGACGGGCCTCCACTCGACGAACGTGCCCAACGTCCTCGTTGTCCTCGACAACATCGATCACTTTCTCACGCGCGGGTTCCGAGACCTCCTCCGCAGTCTTTGCCGCCTCAACAACGAGGTGGATCGCATTCTTTCGTGTATATCGAGCTGCATGGCTGTCTGTAGCTTGGTATGAAGATGCGCTTCTCGCTCGTCCTCGTCACGCGCGGGATCTCGCTCTCGCTGGAGCGTCTGCTCTTGCCATTCGTGCCCGTGCATGTCCATTTTCCTCTCTACACGCAAGGTTCCATGCCCGCTTGATCTTGCACAAAGGTGTTAGTCTGATTTGATAGAACAAATCTGCGATATTCTGGTCGACCAGCTCAAGCTCTGGGAGCACGAGCGACTCTTCCGCGCATGGATCAAGTACCTTTACTCGCTCTTTGAGCACGATTGCCACGACTGGATCGAGTTTCGCTACATGGTGATCCAGCTCCTCCCACTCTTTTACGAGCACGCGCCCGACGATGGCGGGCACGACCCGACCGCCGGTAAATTTCGATATATATATATGTACGAGTGGCATCATTGGCGTGACGCAGACTCGTACAAGACGGCCCACAAGCAGCTCGTGCACCAAACGCAGCTGCGGGCCAAGAGCCTCTTCCAGCATTTGTACCACCGCAACACCGCGATCGAGTCCCACACCGAGTCGACGACGACCGAGCGTGTGAACCTCCCGTTTGGGTGCCTCATGCTCGTGCTCGCGAGCTACCTCTCGTCCTTCAACCCCCAGGAGAGCGATGCCGTGTACTTTTCAACGGCGGCCTCGAGCAAGAAGCGGCGCAAAGGCGGCGGCAGTAGCGGCGCCCGGAAAATGACAAAAAAACAAGCTGAAGCGATCCCGCAGCAGCTCATCGGTCCCAAAGTGTTTCCGCTCCAGCGTCTCCTCGCGATTTACTCGAGTATTCTCGAAGAGTACGACCCGCCCGCCACGCTCGGACTCGAGGCCGACGACCTCTCGACGACGCTCTCGCGCAGCGATGTCTTCAACCACGTACTACACTCGGCCACGCGCGCATCTCTGACGTGTGGAGTAGGTGAACGTACTCGTCCGGATGCGGCTGTTGCAGCGCGTCTCGTCGCTCGACGACCTCGACGACATCAAGCTGCGCTGTCTCGCCGACCACGAGTTTGTCGAACGCATTGCGCGGCAGATTGAGTTTCCGCTCGAGAATTTCCTCAACCAGCTCACGTAGCATTACGCGAATAGGAAGAGGTATTAAGTCATAATGACCAAGTAGGTCAAGATAATCAGTACAAGACTGAGTGCGATGATGATGCAAAAGTTCTGCATCCCACCTACGTTGACGTCATGAGCCCACGACGATCGATGGGCAAAGGTACGACCTGCTTGCTTCACAAGCTCGCGCGTCTTCTGCGTAATGACGTCCAAGTTGTCCTGGGCGCGGTCCGTGTCCGCATTGACTTCGTCCAGCATGCTACATGGGGCCATGAACATGGGTGATGCCCACGTGGAGCCGTACTGGTTCTGGGTGTCGAGCTCGGCGCTGATGTTCTTGCTCATGTCGCCCAACCGCTTTACTGCGTCGTGCAGCTGGCCCAGCTCTTCGTCCTGCTTATGCATTTCCATCTACCATCGTCGTCGTCAGCGATGCGATCCTGATGGTCGTGGTCGTACTTGTTGCGTTTGGCCTTCGTTGAGGAACGATGCTTCCTCATCGTCGGGCTACGAACAAGTGGCATGAGCATGGAGACCTTGCCTTAGGAAGAAGCATCTGCATGCAGCGCTACGCATCATCTCCTCCGCCACTAGCACATCCATACCTCCTCGCTCACCTTAGTGTACTCGGACCGTCCTCGCATCGTCGCCGGCTTCCGTTTCTTGACGGCCTGCGGTGGGACCCACAATAATATAAAGGATGTTAATAATAATATTCAAAGCGTCAATCACAATTACATATATCAGGTTTAGCCTTTCAAAATATAATATATTTCATTGGACTTGTTTTAAAATATTGGGATGGTGGTCATAAAAATAGACGCCAACTGGTCGAATGACGTTGGCGTCATCGGATTGGCTAAAATCTCCTTTGAAAAATCCACCAATGGCAGCCGTCTATCACATACCATGAAGCCACAAACCAGCTGGGTTCGAAAACCCAACCGCAAAAGAAAACCCCAAGATGTAGTCGACCATTTCGACTAACTAACCTTGCCAGAGGCCGACTTACCTACGGTACTTGAGGTCCCAGCGCACATCAATGGAGCCTATAGATTGCTCAAGCCGATGAATGCCATTGCTTGCTGGGCTATGGTGCCGTAGAATCGAGCTCCTTTTTGCTTCGAAGGGCTGGCACGCCGCATTGATGTATTGGGGCAAACCTATTAGTTAGTCAAACCAGCTGCTTTAGTCGGTTCATGACTGAGGGAGGGCATTGCATTTTCGTGGGAAAGGAAGCGCAAGCAGTATGCGATCCGGTATCTTCCTCGCGCTGGCTGTCTGCTTCGGGGCGATGGAGGCCTCGATCCATGTGGTCGATGGCCCTGCCGTCGGATGGAAGGCCTCGGAGCGCATGTTCCACAGCGAAGCCGCCGCCGACTCGTGGGTCCATGTCGACTTCTTGGCACTGCCCATCGAGGACGAGCTCGACCCGACGTCCGAGTACGCCGTCGCCGTCGTCATCTACACGGACGACGACACGGTCCAGACGCCCGACGATTACTGCAGCCAAGACTACAACCAGATGAACACGTCCAATCTCACGGGCAAACTCTTCTTGCCATCCGACAACTCGACGGTCATGGAAGGGAAGGACGCGTTCGTGGTATCGACGACCGGCGTTCAGACCGTCGTGATTGTCACGTGCGCTCGGCCCAAGTGCAATGAGTCGGAACCGGCCGCCTACCTGCCCTATGAAGAGAATCCCAACAGCGCTGCGTTCGATCTGCGCGCCGCCATTGCGTTCAAGAACCCGTACGGATACTTGCCGGGGCTCATGTGGGGCCTTCTTCCATTCAGGTAAGCTGTGACGACACTACCTGTATTGACGCCCTTCGTGTAGCGGAAGCCTCTGCCTGGCGTACCTTGTCGCGGACGGCGTCTTCCTCGTCCTGCTCTTCCGGAATCGCCATACGCTCATTCGCTTGCACTACTTTATCCTCCTTGTGCTGCTGCTCACGACTCGTATGCACCTCTCTCTTGTCGAGACAGTCGTCTGAAACGGGGTCGTTGTGTAGTGGAGACGCTGCTCTGGTATGTGACCTACGCGTCGCTCAACGAGTCGGGCGAAGCGCTCTGCTGCCCGTACCCCAAGATGATTGTCGCCTCGACGCTTCTCAAGGTACGTCCTTGTCTGGCTCTTCAAGGAGGTTTGCTACAAACGACATAGGTGTTTTCGAAGCTCATTGCACGCGTGCTCACGATGATCATTTGCTTGGGCTACGGGATCGCGCGGCCGTCCCTCACGTGCGCCGAGATTGCGCTTGTCACTGGTCTCGGCCTCTGCTATATCGTCTCTACCGGCGCGTTGGAGATCACACACCTCTCCAACCAGTCGGCGGGCGATGTCTCGCCGCCGCTCGTATGGGAACTCCTCGCGACCGCGACGGACGGGTGCTTTGCCGGCTGGATCTTTACCTCGCTCATGCTCACGCGCAAGACACTCCGCGCGACAGGCCAGGTATGCCATTGCCACTACCTCGTCGTCGACTGAGTATTTGTTCTAGTCGGCCAAGTACAAGATGTACGACACGCTCTTCACGGTCCTCGTGACCTTTATGGCCATTACGTTTCTCTTTACGGTGTTTGAGAACGCCGTGTACGTCTGTCGTCGCTCATGCCCCTTCGGATTTATTTACACCAATTTGTAGCTACTCGAAGCGCATTGAGCTCTCGTGGGACTGGATGTGGGTGCTCTGGGCCTCGAGCCGCGCACTCAATTTTTGTGTTGTCTTTGTTGTCTCGATCATTTGGCGGCCGACGCGCACGAGCTTGCTCTACGCGCACTCGGTGCAAGTCCCGTCGTCCGAGGCCGACTGCCCGAGCACCAAGGCCGGCGACGTCGAGCTCGTCGTTGTCGAGGAGACGTCCGACACGGAGACCGAAGTGAGTCTCCATCCCGACGATGGCGACGAGGCGGCAACGACGACGCCGGCGCGTGACGCGATTTAATTTTCGTTTCTGCGTGCGGCTGGTGCTTTGCATTAGGACGATGATAAGCGTAATCGACCTCTGCCTTTGTAGGATGACAGTATTCTGTGGACCGGCAGGTCAGGGAAGTAGGGTTGCTACTCTGGGACCTGAGGCCTAGCAGCAGTGAAGACCGGGTTCGTGCAGGCCAGAATCCGGTCGTCTCAACCGTCGTGATGGAGTGCGTCCTTCATGTGAAAGAGACCGGCGCTTGCGTGTAGTATGCACATAGTGTGCGGCGCAATGGGCAGCTGTCTCGGGTGGTACTAGTGGTGTAGTTTTTGCTTCAGTCGATCGTTTTTGCAGTCGAGCCAGACGAATTGAATGTAGTGATTGACCCCGAGTACTAGACCCCTACCCGCAAGCTCTCAGTGCTGCGACTCATGGAGACAGCTGTGCTCTCGCGTCGAAAATGGTGACGCTTGCGACTCAGGCTGGAGAAAGCACTAACGACTGCTCGATGTCAATGCGTCAGACTGAAGTCTCTATCCCCGTCTTTGCCTAAGCGCAGTCACTTCTGAGGTCTCAAAACGCAATAGATGGCGCTGCTTGAACGGCGCGAATCTGCTGCTTGGTGTCACCGAGCTTGAGCGAGCTGGAAGAGAAGCGGCTTGGTCTGACAGCGCTAATACAAATCTCTGCGTCGTCTACTCGTACAAGACAGTCTCTCAACGCGCCGCCCGGACCCACCAACGCCAAGCGACGAATGAAGACGATCGCGGGCGCCAAGCCGTTATCCCCATGAATTTTGTCCTTGGCCAACGCCCAGAACGATCATTCGATTGCAGATACCTGCGAGCGACCAGCTCGCCAACGTAGAAGAGAAACCCGAAGGTATGTGCACCGAGCTCATCTCTAACCCTGTCGCTTCGTCATGCTGCCAGACAGACCTTGGAGCGCGCTGATTTAGATCGGAGCCGGATGTTTCGCGCCATTGTTATCCGGAACTCCGGATACCACACTACATTTGGCCTTTCACAAACCATGGGGATTGCGGGGCTCCTCGGCGCGCTCAAGGAGGTCATGGCGCCATCCCACGCCCGCGACTTCCGAGGGCAGACCGTCGCCGTCGACGCTCTCTCATGGCTCCATAAGGCGTACGCTCCTGTCCTCGTCATGGAGGTCCCAAAGCATGCCTGCATGTAGGTGCTATGGCTGTGCATGGGATCTCGCGGTCGGCAACGAGACCGAAACGTACGTCAAGTACATCCTCCGACGCACCGACATGCTCAAGGCCGTCGGCGTCAAGCCGCTTCTCGTCTTTGACGGCAACAAGATCCCGCTGAAGGTTGACCTGATCCATGGAAGGGCTAAGGTCTTACATGGTTGCAGTCGTCGACGCACGACAAGCGCCGCAGCGCCAAGCAAGAGAACCACGACATGGCCATGCAGCATCTGCGAGAAGCCCGCAGCCTCGTGGGCGACGAGCGCAAGGAGAAAATGGCCAAGACGTCCCAGTACTTTCAGCGGGTACCATTACATCCTACCTCTACGCCGCCTTTGCCTCACGCAGCCTAGTCGATCAACATAACGTCTGCGATCATCGCATCAGTGCATGACGCCTTGCGCAAGGCCAACGTCGAGTTTGTGACAGCGTACGTCCCTGTCTTTACGCTGTATGGACTCATCTGCAGCGTATCTGCAGGCCATTTGAGGCCGACGCGCAGATGGTGTTTCTCTGCAAGCACCAAGTGACGACGGCCATCATCACGGAGGACTCAGACATCCTCGTCTACTGCGCGGCCGCCAACATTAGCGTCCCGGTCCTCTTCAAGCTCGAGGAAACCGGTGACTGCAAGGTCCTCCATAGCACCACAAGAGAACCGGTCTTACGCTGCAATAGATGCTTAGCAAGGACGCGATTCATACCCACGGCAAGACGAGTGGTACAGCTACATGGCGCTTTGAGCTCGTTGATCAAGGGTGTATGTAGCCAACGGCGTCCTACGCAAGCTTTCGTACTTTCTGTCTGGCGGCCACGAGCCGACGCGGATGTTTGTGCACGCGTGCATCCTCGCGGGCTGCGACTTTCTCGACTCCCTGCACCACATTGGCATCGTCGTACGCTAATTTCTGATGTCATTTGATTTGAATTCGCTTTGTAGCGAGCCATTCAACATGTATTCGACTACCGCGGTGTCAAGGGCACGCTGCGCATTCCCCGGCTTTTGAGCAAACTCAAGTTTGACGGCGCAACCGTGCCCGACGACTACCTCGAGCGCTTTTACAAGGCCGAAGCGCTCTTCTACCACCACTACGTCTACGACCCGTCGACGCAGTGCTGCGTCCACCTTGTCACCGCGTCCGACTATGAAGTGGTCGAAGATATCTTCGAACGTGTGACTGCGTCGTTGACGGAGACGCCTTTTCTGGGCATTCTGTCGCCGCAGGAGGTCATTCGCGACATTTACAACAACAAGCGCCTCGCACGAAGTGACGCGTCGGAGTCGAGTTCGCAAAGCAGTTCGCAGCCGAGCCAGAGTGCCCTCTCGACGCAGAGCTCCCAGCCAAGTCAGAGCACAGGGGCAACACAAAATTCAGAGCCGAGTCAGTCGTCGCTCTCGCAACGAGCCCCGTCGTCGCCAAAGCAGCAGAACTCACCGGCGTCCCAGTTCTCAACGTCGCAGCGAGCGCCGCCATCGCAGTCGTTCCAGTCGCCACCACCCCGCGCGACAGGTCGGCGCTGGTTTGGGGCTCATGCCGGAAGCTCGCCCGAAGCAACTCCGTCGCCCGCTGTCGCCAAGCGTCCAGTGTTCAAGCGTCAGCCCATCGACTGCGACGAGGTTCGCGCCAAAACCATGGAGAGTATCTTTAGCGTTTACGCGGCGCCAAGCCAACGCTCGTTCGCTCCGTCCTTTGGCGGCATCGCATCGCCCGTCGCAAGCCCACGCAAGTTTCCTCCGTCGTTTGGCTTGCCCGCGGCAACCAAACGTTCGTACTCGCCATCGACTCGTGACGCGCTGCCGTCACCGCCTGCCAAGAAGCCAAATCTCTTTGCAAACGTTAGCGACGATGAGGATGACGACGAGGAAGATGCAACGCTGTCGGGGGCCGCCTTGCACGCCGCTATGGCCGTCGAGCCCACGACGATTCGGACCGTCAATTCAGGCATGTCGATCTTCTCGGCGCCAAAGAAGGCTGTGCCCGTGCCCCGCTTGCAGTTTAAGAGCCCCACAAAAGGAGCTGCAGTCCAGCGCGCCTCGAATGCGCTGCCCCCAACGACCAAGAAGGCCGTCAAGACGCCAGCGCCTATTGCCCTACCCAAGAACCGGGCCTCATCCAAGAGCCCTACAACATCGCAGGCGAACGGAGCTACCCGCGCCTCGTCCAGAGCCTCGTCCAAGAAGACACCACCGATCAAGACGCAAGCTGGCACGCTGCTCGGGTACTTTACGAAAACAACGCCGACGACCGAGTAACATCTCCTTGTATGGCACTCTTCTGACGACTGCTACTACTGCGTTTCGAGAGTTTGATGGGGTGGGCGAGCATGTACTTGAGCATTCCAGGGTACGCTGGCGCCGACCCACAGCGCTTGCTCTTTTGTTTGGCAGGCGGCGGGTTGCCGCGATTGGCGACCGTGATGCGCACGCCACACGCTGCGAGCTTTTGCATGTGCAGTTTGGCCACGTCCAGGGCCACGAGCGACTCATGGCGCGACGCTTGGCGCAAGGCCTGTGCTCGGTCGTGCTGCTCCCGCGCAATCCGCTGGGGGCTGCCAAGGGGGGCGGGAAGGCGACCTCGCTTGGCTCGCCGACATCGCCACGCCGACTGGATCGAGATGGCGGCGGCCTCGCGCTTTGCGTCATCCCAGCGCGGCGCGTCGGCAAGAAAGCTCGCGTCGACCCCGAGGGTTTGCAACGTGCTCGCATTCGCCTCGGCCGCTGCCAGCCAGTGCAGCCCTTGCACCGCAGCGTCTTGGCTGGCCTGGAGCGACGCCAGTTGCAGTGTGAGCTTTTGTCGCTGGATACCGATCGTGAGCGCGTGCTTGGCGCGGACTCGTTTGGCGCGCCACGCACACTGAACCACCTTGGCGGCTGTCACGCGCCGCGCCGCCTCAAAGTCAAGCGCGTCGGTGCTGGAGGCGCGCTCGAGACGGTGCAGCCGCTGGTGCAGCACGACCTCCTCCTGCGTTTGCTCGTGGAGCACCTTGGTCAAGTTGTCGACCATCTCGACGTACATAGTGCCTACGTCCATAGCTACTTGTGTTGTATCTTGCTCGAGCGTACCGCGGCGGGTCTCGGCGGCGAGCTTGGCCTCGAGTGCACACATCTAGTGGGGTAGGAAACGCCTCTCGTGATGCCACGTCATGATTACGTGATTGCCGTAGAGCGCCAAGTCGTCGGCAAGCTCGCCGACCGCATTGGTTTTAGCCTTGGCCGTCTCCGTTGCCATCTTGAGTCTACAAGCCATCCATGCAACTTCTAATTCAGTCAAGGCATGGGGACCGCTTGTAGCACTTGGCGTAGCGATGTCGCAGGGCGCCGTGCTCGGTCTGCACTTGCTGGAGCGCCCGTGACGCGTCGTCCAGACGGCTCTCAAGCGCGTGCCGTGCGATTGATGCGTGCTGGCGCTCGAGCACAAAAGCCTGCAGCTGGGATTCTCTGCGGCGCAAAAGCGACGCGACGCAGTCTTCGTAGGTCATGGCAGCGACGTCAGCGTCGTTTTGAGCTTGGACGAGCGCCAGTGCGCGCACCTCGAGCTCGGCTGCCTGCTGCGCCGTCTGCACTTGAAGCTCGACCGTTCGTCGCTGGGCCGTGTATGTCTCTGTGCGTTGGGCTTTCCCTTGAGTACTGAGTTCCTCTACACGGCGCGCAAGGGACCGGTTCGTCTCGGTCACGTCTCGCAGATGCTCCTGGAGGCTGGCTCGAGTCTGTTCTAGCTCCTTCGTGGTATGGGCCATCGCGATATCTTTGGTCGCTTGGGCCTGCAAGAGAAACGCGAGCCTCTCTCGCAGTGCGGTGACGGTGTGTCGCAGAAGCTGTACGAAGGGAAAGGAGATGAGCTGCTGACAAGTGCGGCTGAAGTAGTATCGGAGACGCTGCAAGCACAGCGCACGCTACAAGCACGCTGTTGTGGACGAGGACCTTGTTACGTAAATGGTAGGTACCTTGGTAATTGCAAGCTCAACACGCAGATGCTCTAGCTTGTCTTGGCACTCGGCCCGTATTAAGGCCAGTGCAGAAGCTGAGGTTGCCGCCACGCGCTCGTGCTCACTCTGTTCGTCAATAGACGCGCGCGATGCGACCTCGGTCTGGGCAAGTAGCGCTGTGTTCAGTTGGGTGATCGTCTCGTGGGCGATTGCTAGGGCTGCTGCGAGCGGCGAGAGACGCATGGCATAATCTTCCAGTTGCATGCTCGTTGTATCTTGAAGACGGCGCAAGGACTCTCTGGCTTCGCCAAGCTTCCGTGTGAGTACGTTCAACTCGACGAGGTACGTAAGCTTTGTCTGCTCTTCGATGAGTCGCACGCGCTGTGTCATCTGGTGCAGCTCGAGTCGAACTTGGTCGTGGCGCTGCTTCGCAACCTCGTGCGTTGCTTCTAGCTGATGCAGTCGGCCTTGGAGGTCGGCTTCTCGTTCTTGCGCAGCACTGAGCTCAATTTTGGCTGTCGCGAGCGTCTCGCGGGTTGCTGCGCACTGGAGCAGCGCAGCGTCTCTGGCGCGCTCCGTGGTGCCGAGAGCCTTTGCCAGCACGTCGTGGGCTGCTCGTATGGCTTCCGTCTACGCACTCGCGTCATCGTTCACGCCTCGCGGCTCGACGTACCTTGGTCGTTTGCTGTTTGAGGTCGAACGCGACCTGCGTCGCCTCTGCGACGCGCGTGCCCATGGCCACGAGCTTGGCTTCCAGCCGCTTTTTGGCGTCACCCACCGAGCGGTGGGCGGCTTGCTCCTTGAGGAACATGCGTTGCATCTGCGCGAGCTCGGTGGTTGCGGCCGCCGCGGCTGCATCCGCTTCTATTCGCGCATGACGCAGCGACCCCACTTGCGCTTCGAGTGCTGCGACTTTGTCAGCTGCGATCTTCAGCGCTTCGTCCTACGCAGGATTTGCACGATGGCGCGACGAGCACGAATCGTACGTCGGTGCGAAGCATGACGACGCTGCCGCCGCACGCCTACAGCTCTAGTCGCACTACCTCAGTTGAACGCAAGGTACCTTGCACGGCGAGATGCGAAGGGCTGCATTTGTCGGGCTAAACAGCGGCAAGTGTGGCGTGAGGTCGATGCTGGGCAACGCGCGGAGGGCTTCGTCGGGGTCTAGCCCATGGGCAAAGAGCCGATCGCGCACGACAATGACGTCGTGCATGTACGCAGTCCGCAGGTCGTCCAGGAGCTGGGTGCGCCGGTGCAGCTGGTCCCGAAGCACGTCTACGACGTCGTTGCTGCGACTGCATGCGTCCTCTTGCATAAATGGCGTCGTTGGCCAGCGGTTACAGCGCCTTTCCAAGTACCGACAGCGCGTCCTATCGTCAGCCTTGCGCGTGGACGGCGCTGCATGTGTGCTACGGCAAGCTGCGTGGGTGCGAAATGCAGTCGATGAACGACGTCACAAGTCACACGTCAATTCGTAGATGCTTAGCCAAAACGGTTGCTTCTCGTGCAGGGTCTACTTGGTCTGCTTCACAGCGTCCAGGACGAGGCCGCGGAAGGCGAGGACGCGCGAGTTCCAGCTCTCGCGCACATTCGTGTAGTACTCGTGTTCGACGGCGTGGCGCGGCAGCGGCTTCTTGGTCGTGGCCCTTCGGACAGGCGGGTTGACGCGCGTGCGCATGGCGTCGATGCGCAGGAGCGCGTCGGCCGTGCGCTCCTCGATGAGCGCCCGCGTCGAGAGGTACCCCGCGGCCGCCACGAGGACGCCAGCGCTAAAAGCTCGGGCCACCATTCTTCCTCTCTTGCTTGTTGACAGAACACAAAAAGGCAACGTCCGGATACACGCCAGCCACATCCGGATAAACAACCGAAGATCGCGATGGGGGCCTTCCAGTGGGGCCTTCTACGATCTTCGACCGAGTCCACACTGGAGCCCACACCAAGAGTCTTATCACTCACTCGTACATTGCCCTCTGATACAAGGACCACTTCGGCAAAGGTCGGTCGTCGGTGCCATGTACCATCATAGGTATGGCCCAGCGTGGACTGGCCGACTTGCTTGTCGAGTTGATGCCATTTCGGAATGTCCGACGTCAATACGCTGCACCAAACTGCACCAAATGGAGCCTTCTGGAAAGGTCTCTTTCCAGGTTCAAAGCTCCGTTGGGCTCAAAATGTTCGACTTGAATTTCCGCCCGATCGGGCTATGCGTGCAAACGGTGGCCGCGTCGCTTCTGTGTCTTGGGTCGCTTACAGGTCTTGGCTGTGACGTGACTACCGCACCAACAGCAGCAGCAACACACGCGGGCAACGATGGTGGTATCGTTTCGTCCGCCGACGCGGGAGTTTCAAGCGCAAGCTACTTTGGGAACCGGCGCGCCGCAACACTGTGCGTAGTCGCCACCACCACGCTGCTAGGACGAGCATGCTCGTAAGCTACAGTAGTGACACTGCGATAGGCGAGGTGTCATCGGAGCCAGCGCGGCGAGGGTGTTGCTCACGTCGAAGACACGGGGCGAAGTCGGCGGTTTTCTTCGAATTTCGAATGCAACGAGCGTGGCGGCGGTTCACATGGCCATTTGCGATCCGGCCTCGTCATGCGCCACCACTCGTCGCCCGAGATCTCGTCCGAGGTCATGGCGTCGGCGCTGGAGCTCACGGAGGCGTCGCTCTGGGCCAAGATGGCGGACGACGAAAAGGTCTACGTGGAGCCGCAGTTTGAGCTCTATCGCTGCTACCCGCCCGACACGACGCTGCCCAAGTACTTTGTCAAGGCATGGCTACCATACGCCGCCGATACGCTCTTCAACGTGCTCGCCGACATTGCGTACCGCAAGACGTGGGACGCGTCCGTGAAGCAGGCCTACGTCGTCGACCAGTCGCCGCGCGACTGCATGCTCGACGTTGTCTACTGGTGCATCAAGATGCCATGGCCCTTCTCGAACCGCGACTACGTCTACCACCGGCGCGTCGCGTACCTCGAGAACGCGTTTGTGCTTGTCGCCCACGCCGGCCTGCACAAGGACGCGCCCGAAGTCAACCACACGATCCGCGTCGAAGCGTTCGCGTCGCGCATCGTGATTCGGTCGTCCGGCGTCAACGGCTGCGACATATACGTCGAGTACTGCGACGAGTCCAACTACAGCGTGCCGAACACGCTCATCAACTGGGGCCTCCAAACCGGCCTCTCCTCGTACCTCAACGACCTCAAGATGGCGTGTGCCAACTACGCAGCGTACACGCGCAGCTTCAGCGATGACGCGGTCCAAGAGATTCCGTCACAGCTCGTGCGACTGCGCTCGGAGCGAAAGAGCTCGATGCGGCGGCCGTCGCTGCGGCATGCGCGGTCATACTCGGTCGACGAGCCCGACCCGACGGTGTTTCCGCCGTCGCCGACGCACCGCCGCTTGTCGCCAACGAGTCGCAGCGCGCGGTCCGTCTCGGCGTTTGCGTTGCCGACCGCCGACGCCTCGACGTTCTTCCTCGACTTTATGCAAGATCACACCGGTCTCCGGCTCGAGACGGACGTGTATTCCAAGCTTGCAGTCGTCCTCGGGTGTGATCCCGGCACGGAGGCCGCCAAGTCGATGGCGGCCCTTCCTCGTGGCACGATCGTCGTGTCGCTCAACGCTGTCTCGGTCCAAGGACAGAGCGTAAAGGAGATCGTCGACCGCATTCGGCGGGCGCCGCGACCGCTCGTCATTGGCTTCCAGCTCGTCCATGATGATATTGTGGCAACGTCCGTGCTGGAAAAGTGCGTCTCAACTTGATTGTTTGATCGATTGATAGTATTCAAATGGAGTAGGTCGGACGATGCGGTCAAGCTCCACGTCCACCACAGTGACAACCTCCACGAATACATTGGCGGCCGCGCGCCCAAAGCCGGGGCCGTGCTCATGCGCCCGTTCACGTTTCACCACGACGTGATTGTGCCGGCGGGCTGGCAAGTGCTCGAGATCAACGGCGCCAACATGCTCGAGCTATCGCTGAACGAGGTCGTGCACTATCTCCGCTGCAACACGTCGGCCAAGCTCGTCGTCCTCGGCAAGGAAGATCGACCGAAACTATCGCTCACGCGGCGGCTCTCGCGCGCCTTTAGCTCCAAGTCGCTCAAGCCAAAGCCACTCTCGGCTTCGTCATCGTCGTCGTCGACACCGCTGAGCACGTTGCCGCCGAGTCCGTCAGCTGCCGACGTCGACGCCCGCGCACTCCGCGAGACGCTCATGGACTACGGCCACGTCGCCGTCAACCTCGACAATGCGCAGTGGGTTTGGACACACATTGAGCTGCTCATGAACGAAGAACGGCACTTCTCCGCGGGTCCGCTCATTGAAAAGCTCGAGCAATTTCTGAGCGCGCGCAAGGACAACCCGCTGTGTGCGTCGATCCAAGCGCAAGTGGACGCCAAGCAGCCAGCCCTCACCGTAGTCAAGGAGCGATGTGCCCAAGGTATGCACGCTCTGCACGAGTTCAACGCCGACGCCGACGCCGGGTGGCGGTTCGCCCAAACCTACTTTGGCGTCTCGACTCACTGGAAACCGGGTATCTTACTTGTGCATTCTCGCAGTGCACCTGACGCTAATGGTACTAGGCGACGATGGCACGATTTGGCTCAAACTCGATGGCATCTGCGAAGGCGTCGACATCTTCAATGCACTCGCGGTCGTGCGGGAGACGGACCTCTTCAACCTCTGGGCGCCATTCTGCAACAAATCGTCGCTGCTTGCGACGCTCGGCCGCGTGGAACTGATCACGTACCTCAGCGTTGCGATCCCGCTCATGCAGCGCGACGCGGTGGTCCACGCATTCGGCATCAACGCCACGTACGAGCACCGGTGTGTCGTGCTCCTCGGCAAGTCGATCACCGAGGACCAGAGTCCCGTCAACAACATTGAATTTCCACCCGTCAAAGGCTGGAACGCCGACCGCATGGAGCTACGGGCGTTCCGCGCGCTCGTCGAGCCGTATGCGCGCAATCGCGGTCGCACCTGTACAGTCGCCTCGCTCCAACGCAATAGTCTTATTTTAGCAATCGACTAGGTATCGTCGTCAACGTACACCCCAAGTGCCCCGTGCCCATGTCGCTGCTCAACTTTACCATTAAAAAGATGGCTGGCGTCCTCCTCTACTTGCTCATGCGCGAAGCCGCCAAGGTTGAAAAGCATACAAACGAGCCGGGTACGACCAATCCGCACGTCTTGCGCATCCAGAACGACCCGTTCTACGCGTGGCTGCGCCTCCGCATGAACAAGTGGTTCGAGCACTTGGACGCTGGCACGCTTCCGACGCCGCTCTCGGTGCGCCCGCGCCTCGACCGCGCGTCCTCCGGGTCGGTCTACGGCACCCGCATCGAGTCCCAGACCAACCTCAAGTCGGCTCCGACGCGCCGCAAGAGCGGTGTCGACGTTGTGCGTGCGGTGCTGGACCGCGTCTATGACGTGGCCGTCTGGCCGTATGTACTTCTCGCGCTCGTGTACGGCTATCTCGTGACGCCGGCGACCCCGCTGCTGCATGCCCACGGCATGAAAGCTCTCTTGACGTGCGCCTTTGCGTGGTTTGGCGTCGCCGGATCCTTCTCGTGGCAGGCGCGCGTGAATGGTAGTCCTCGTTTGCAGCTCGGAATAAGAGGTTGATGGTGCTGTCTAGAGCACGTCATGGCCGAGATCCAACGGCTTCGGTTCCGAGTGGTGGTGCTGGCGCTCTTCTTTGAGCTGCTCTCGACGGTGATGGCGTACGTATGGACGCACCACTTGGCGTGCCGCGTCGGCCCCAGTCACTCGCAGCTCGCTTGCAGCCAGCGATCGCCCATCGAAGTCCGCACGACCGACCATTTTTGGATGGTTGCCAACTCGTTTCTCGCCGCGAGCTTTACGGTCGGAATCCAAATCCTTGTCAAGATACATATTTAACTCACACACAATACAGCCAAGTAGCATGGGGACGCGGCGATCGTCGTTGCGGTGCTGTAACACCAGGATGCCACGTCATGCACGAATCTCACACACCATTTTCATAAAATGTGTTGTTGGCTTCCACTGAAAACACGTGCACATACCACATTATTGGTTTTGACGCATGGTGCGAACGTCGCAGCTTCGAGTGAGCGGTTGGCACCTTGATATACATTTGGCACAGGGAATACGCGTAGCAAATGGTAGCCTCGGGTTGAAGAAGGTAGTTACTACTTGTTGCCCAAGGCGAGGAACGCATGTGCCTCAATGGCGCTGAGCGAGAGTCGCTTCGTCTCGTCGTCGACGAGGATCTGGGAGATCAAGTCGATGCCATCGACCGACATGTCGTCGGGGAAATTGAGGGGCAACAGCGTGTCACCCTCGCCGTCAGTGACCGGAGCGGCCCCCGTGAGAAGGGTGAAAAGAACGATGCCAAGGCTCCACAAGTCCACCTAACATAAACAATATGAGAACGCGGGGCGTTTTGTGTTCCTGGACGTGCCGGTGTCGAGTGGCACTTGTCCGACTTCATTTCCTTGGGTGGGTTAGTGTTGGGGCCCGGGAGAGAGACCCGCTTGCCCCGAGCGGCCCCACTAAAGTTTGCGATCTTCACCTTGCCCTAGACAAATAGAATACTCCAAATGGCAGGTCCTTCGTGGTCATACGTCTTCCGTGACAAGAATGTTGTCAAACGTGAGGCGGCGGTGAGCGACCCCGTTGCCGTGGATGGTCTTGAGGCCTTGGACCAGCTGGCAAGCAACCTTGGCAACTTCCAGCGGCGCAACGGGACCTGGCGCCGGGTAAACGTCGTTCAAGTCGCCCATGGCGCAGTACTCCGTCACGATAAATACTTTGTCGGCGGTGTAAAACCACCCAAAGACAGGCACGACTGCGGGATCTTGAATGTGAAAACCAAATTCGACCGCCCGCCGAAAGTTCACACACGCGCCGTACGTCATCGACGCGCGCACGATCGCCTTGATGGCGACAGCAGTGCCAGTCGGACAGTGTGTGGCCTTGAACACGGTAGTGGTCTTGCCCGTCGCAATTGGTGCGTAGTCTTCAAAGTCGTCATAATCGAGCAACGTGCCGCCTTCCGAAAAGGGGCGTGGGTAGCAACCCAGCTCGCGAGGGTACTCTTCGCGGAAGAGGTGCGGAAACAA